AAAACCGCGCCTCCTCAAATAAAAATAGATTTGAAATTTTATCAACCGATGAAAGCGAGAATACTGGAAATAATACCAAAAAATATAAACCACCTCCAATCTACGTAAGGGAAAAAAAATCGAATGAGCTCTTACAGAAAATGACATCCATTGTCGGCGATAAACATTTCTACGTGATTCCACTCTTAAAAGGAAATGTCAATGAAACAAAAATCCAAATAAATGACGAAATGAACTATAGAAAAATTATAAACTTCTTCGATGCCAATAACAAAAGCTACTACACCTATCAGTTAAAATGTAGCAAAGGTTTAAGTGTGATAATTAAAGGTATAGAACATTTCGTACCGGAATCTGATATAAAAGTAGCCTTGGCGGAAGCCGGATTTGAAACAAAATCCATCTTTAGTATTAAAAATAAAAATATAACACCTCAACCAATATTAAAGTAGAACTTGAGCCAACACAAAAAAATTCGCTGAAGGAGAAATACATCCAAATCACTATCTTCTTTATCTTTTACATCAAAGGATAACAGTAGAAGAACGCTTCAAAATACAATGTACTAACTGTCAAGAATTTAAACATACTCACATCTGTTGCACCTTACCCAGTGTATGCGCAATATGTGGAGATTTACACAAATTCTCCATATACCCAAAACCTAAGAAAGATCCAAATGCAAAAAAATGTAGCAATTGTGGCAAAAACCATACAGCAAATTATAGGAATTGTACTGTATTTGTTGCAGTTAAGCAGAGAACTCTTCCCAAAAATCTATCAAATACTGTGCCACCCAAAAATTACTTCCAAGAACAAGTAGGCAATCCAGAAGTAATAATACCTTAAGGCAAAAGTTATGCAAATGTATTAAAAGAAAATATTCAACCTCAACAATTGGCGAAACCGGCAATAGGTAATTTAGAAGAAACCCTACATACAATGATTCAAAAGCTTAATGTTTTTATGTGTAGTATGCAAACCATGATGCAAGAACTTATAAAAAATCAAAGTGCTCTAATGCAAGCTCTGATAATGAACCATAAAAAATAAACTTGAAATTGAATATTTTTTAATTAGTAATGCAATTGATATTATGCTTGTGTCTGAAACACATCTCACTCAAAAAAACGCTTTCAAAATTCTAAATTACTGCTTTTATGACACTTAGCATCCCAAAGATATCGGTCGTGGGGGTACTTGTATTATAATTAAAAAAAGCCTTAAACACTATTGTTTAGAAGACTTCAGTAAAGATTATCTGCAATCAACAGCTATTCGAGTTGATGAATATGGAGAAAATGTCTTAATAGCTGCAATATATTGTCCACCCAATCACAATATAGAAGTCCAAGACTTCCAAATCTTTTTTAAAACACTCGGTTCTAAATTTCTAGTCGCAGGCGATTTCAATGCCAAGCACACATTCTGGGATTCAAGACTAATAACACCAAGAGGATGAAAACTTCTAGCAGTTGTGAAAAGTGAAGATCTCGATGTCATTTCAACTGGACAGCTAACTTACTGGCCTTCTGATCGACAAAAAGTCCCAGATCTTTTTGACTTTGGCCTAAGTAAAAATATTAAACTATCAACAATCACCACATTTCCATCAATTGAACTGTCATCAGATTACTCACCAACAATAATAACAGTACAATGTCAACAGAATAGAACTATCCAAACGCAAAGTTTAACGAAATATATAGTTATGTATATCTTTATGTATTTTTATTTATTTCTTTATAATTAAAAACACTCACATGTTATATATTAACTATATACATTTATTTAGTTCTTATTTAGTGTTTTAAATAAAAAACGCTATTTGTACATATTGTATTTTTTATAAGAAAATCAAGAAAAAAGAAAGAAAGCACTAGTAAAACTGTCTTGTTAAATCCAAAGCCAATTCACAACTCTGCTTACGGCAAAACCGATTTTTAATAAAGACTCGAAATTTTCTGCTTTATACCAATTCAGCGATCTTACGTAAGAGTGAGAAGTTGTTAGAGCTCCCCCGCATGATCGCTGTAGAAATCACATGTAAAGCTCGTCCTAAAATTCTTGGAAGAGGAAAGCTAGAAGACTATGGCAACGACATAGATCCCCAAAACATAAAGTTCTACTTGCTAAATGTTCTAATGAACTCAAAAATGCACTAGCGGAAAGACATCAAAAATCCCTAAACAATTTTCTATACAATTTGGCACCTAATGAACAAACTGACTATTCACTTTGGAAAGCAACAAACTATCTCAAACAGTCAATCCAGCATGAACCTCCTCTCAGACTAGAATATAGTGACTGGGCACGAAGTGACTCTGAGAAAGGGGACGTATTTGTAAAACACTTGAAAAATGTATTTACTCCAAATGATGCTTCAAAGAACACCATTTTTCCAATAACAAACCTACATCCGTCGAGCAGTCCATTTATCTTTAAACTAGAAAATATCATTAAATTTATAAAAGATCTCAATTACCATAACGTGCCATTTTATATCTCATGCATTTATTCAACGCTATGTCACGGCCAGTAATGTTACGGAGTTGTGTCTTAACATTTCTTGTGAGATATTAATTATTATTATTTTTATTATTATTATTTTTATTATTATTATTGTTATTATTTTTATTATTATTATTATTTTTATTATTAATTTTATTATTATTATTCTTATTATTACTATTTGTTATGTAGGCCTTGTCATGGCAGCCCTGTAATATGAAAATACAATATAAAATAAAATACACGACAGTCAGTCTTAAACATAAACTCGGTGTTTTTGTAAGCAACGCGTCGGTAAAAAAACATACACACACAAAAAAAAAAAAGAAGAGAGAAAAAAGCAAAATGCTTAAGCCACCAAAGCCGCTGTTAATAAACAATGAACTCGAAATGACGCGAGAATGGAGCGAATAGGTAGAAGCATACGAAAACTACACCATTGCTGCGAAAATAGATAAAGAAACGGTAGAAGTGCAATTGGCAAATTTCAAGACCGTAATAGGAAAGGACGCTGTGCGTTTGATAAATAATTTGGCCCTGACTGCGGAAGAAGCAGCAAAACAGGAAGAAATAAAAAAAAAGCACTTTATTCCAACACGCAATAAAACATATGAACGCTGCCAATTTCACCGTATTAAACAGCAAGAGTCCGAAGCCTTTGACGATTTCTTGCAATAATTGCGCGAGCAAGTGCGCAAATGCAGCTATAATAATGATGAAGAATTTCTAACTGATCAAATAGTTCTGGGCATTTATTCAGATGACACAAGACAGAAACTATGGTTGGAAGAGGAAATGTCGTTAGAATAAGCCATAAAAATTTGCCGAACTGCAGAAAGAGCCGGCAAACAAATTAGCGAATTAAATAACGAACAAAGTCTGACAACAAAAATTAATAAAATCAATAAAAGTAACAAACAATTTGATTGCGGACGTTGTAAGAGAACACATGGACCAAAGAGCTGCCCAGCATATAAAAAGAAATGTAAAAAATGTGGAAAAGAGGGGCATTTTGAAGCAGCCTGTAAATCAAAAAAGTGTGAAAAAGGAACACAACAGAATAAAGAGAAGAGAGGAACAGCAAGAACTGCAACAAAATTAAATGCAATTGAAAACAATAGCGACAACGATACAAATTTCAATTTCGTCGGTAACATAACGAAACTATATAATATAAATTCTAGCGGGAAAGGAGAAAAATGGTCAAAGACCGTGCGCATAGGCGATTATGAAATAAAGTTAATGTTGAATACCGGAGCATGTTGCAACGTTTTACCATTGAGAATGGTTAAAAAACTAAACATAACAATCAAACCAAGTGCAGTAAAACGTATTAAAACATATGACGGAGGTTTCATTAAGGTCTTGGGTGAAATAAATACCAAGTGTCGAACTCTGCGTAAAGAAAATAATGTTGAAAGATCAATTAAATTTACAGTAATTGAAGAAAATCATCAAGCAGTTCTGAGAGGTAATGATTGTGAAGTTTTGGGATTTATAAAACGTGTAAGCCAACTTGGTTGTTGCAAAAACTTCGAATACGACATCGATTTCATAGACAACCCCAATTTCAAAATCATACCAGCAAGAAAAATTCCTTACGCTATTGAAGAAAAAGTTAAACAGGAATTGGAAAGAATGATTTAATTAGGTGTAATAAAAAGCGTCAGCGAGCCGACACCAGCTGTGAGCCCAATGCTGGTAGTTAATAAAGGAAAACTACGCGTATGCATGGATCCGACAGAACTGTATAAAAATATTAAGCGTCGGATTTGTTCAATGAAGTCAGTTGAAGAGGTAACAGCAAAACTACATGGCAGTAAGTATTTCACTAAACTTGATTGTCAAAAAGGGTTTTGGCAAATCAAAGTTACAGAGCTTACCTCAAAATATTTAACATTTTCGACACCTTGGGGTTGATTTAGCTATTTTCGCATGCCGTTTGGAATCTCATCAGCACCAGAGATATTCTGCGAAGTAATGAATAGAACGCTAGAAGATATTAAAACGTGTGAAATAGCCATGGACGATATTTTTTTACATGCTCCAACATTGAAAGAGCTGCAAAACACAACTAAAGAAGTAGTGAAACGATTAACTGATGCAGGTTTTACATTGAATAAAGAAAAGTGTGAATACGAGAAAACTACAATAAAGTTTTTAGGTCACATTTTCACTCAAAATGGTTATTCAGCGGATGAAGATAGGGTAAAAGCAATATGCCAACTGAAAACACCTACAAATGTTAAAGAATTACAGCGATTACTGGGAATGGTAACATATCCCGGTAAATTTATTAACTATTTATCAGAGCTTACAGAACCACTGCGTTCTCTTATGCATAAAAATGCAGCCTGGAAGTGGGAGCATGAACACACAAAAGCTGTGGATAACATAAATAAAGCTCTGACAAATACCCCGGTACCGAATTCCCATTCTACAACGTTAATAAGCCGGTAAAACTATCAGTGGATACCAGCAGCAAATCAATGGGTGCATGCCTATTGCAAGAAGGAAAACCAATTGGTTATGCCACAAAAGCATTTACAGAATCGCAGCAAAAACAACCACAAATAAGCAAGGAAGCATGGGCGATCCGTTTTGGATGTAAAAAATTTCATTCCTTTGTATATGGAAAGGAACTTATGATCGAAACAGATCATAAACCGTTAGAAACAATTTTCAATAACCCGATCCAAAGGGCTCCAATACGCCTTCAAGGTGTATTATATGACATACTACAATATTCACCAAAAATAAAATACGTTAAAGGTACGATGATACCAATAGCAGATGTTCTAAGTCGAGACTGTGAAGCAGACGAAGACGAAGTTAATCATGATGAAGAAATTTATCTTATTCATGCAATAGGTAATACGTTACGCGTTAGAATCGTAAAAGCAACGGCTGCAGATAGCGAGTTACAAGCACTTAAGAAAGCAATCATGAAAAAAAGGCATGAGAATGTGAAAAATACGCAGAAAATTATCAATAAATACTCATCATTTAAGCAGGAAATTACATTTGAAGATGGATTGCTAATGAAGGGTAACAAAATCATACTACCTAATAATATGAAAAATTCTATGATCACAGAAGCTCATACCGGGCATGTTGGGATTTCAACAACGCTAAAGCGTCTGCGTCAAACTTTTTTCTGGAATGGTTTAACAGTCGACACAAAAAATTATGTTGAAAAATGTGCAATAGGCCAGCAGACCCAACATGCGAATCAAAAGGAGACGTTAATATTAAGAGGTATCCCAGAATATCCTTTTCAACTCGTTTCGACAGACATATTTAAATTTAAAGGCGACGATTGTTTGCTGATCGCCGATCATTATTCGGGTTTCACTGATTTCAGAAAACTGAAATCAGCAACGTCAGCTGAAGTTATCTTACTGCTACGTCAGTGGTTTTCAGTTCATGGTATACCAGAGATTCTTGAATCAGATGGAGGACCACAGTTTACAAGTCATTCCTTTAAAGAATTTAAAATAAAGTGGAGATTCCAACACAGAGTTTCTTCACCCCACTATCCACAATCAAATGGTTTTGCAGAGCGAAATGTACAGACGGTAAAAGGCATACTAAAAAGATGTTGGTCTGATGGAAGTGATCCATATTTGGCAATGCTGTTGCGGCGCAATACTCCTCGAAATAACATATTAAAATCGCCAAGCTAACGTTTATTAAGCCGTGAAACGAGAACAATACTGCCAAGCGATATATCTAATCTAAAGCCAAATATTGTTCCAGGAGTTACGGAAGAACTTAGAGAGTTACGCGAAAATCAAAAACGCTACGCAGATAGAGTAGCAGTTCCACGTCAAGCACTTAAAATGGGAGACAACGTGAGAATGCAAGTCGGTCATCGTGCATGGAACCCGGCAAAGGTGATTGAAGTAACTGCAAACCCCCGTTCCGTTATAGTTGAAACGCCGGAGGGTAGAAAATATCGCCATAATAGTATTCATCTGCATACCACGAAAGCAAAGCTCCCAATTTTCCCGCTAATTGAACTGAAGGAAAGGCCTCAGGAGAACCCTGACGTCTCACAACGTATACCGGAAGCTGCATGTCATGATCCGGAGCAGAGCAACGTGGTTCCTCAGGCCGATTCCCACCCGGTGGAAACAACCAAATTTTCGAGATATGGACGAAAACTAAAGCCAATTGTGAAATATGATCCTTCAGAGCAAAGTTAGTTTTTTGTTAAAATATTAATTGGTTTTTTTCAAATTTTTTCAATTTCAAAATCAAAGATAAAATTTTGTTAAGAAAGTATTCCCAATTAGAATATTAATTTTTTTTTTTCAAAAAAAGGGGGATGTCATGGCAACCCTGTAATATGAAAATACAATATACAATAAAACACACGACAGTCAGTCTTAAACATAAACTCGGTGTGTTTGTACTCTAGCGTCCATGTGACAGGCCTGTGTGAGTAGAAGGTGATATATTAACATAGGTAGAAAAATGACAAACATGATGTTACCTCGTATGTCCCACGTTGTTCAGGTAGCCTCCGTACAGTATTTACCACCCGAATTCGTCTACACATTTTTTTTGTTTCTTTTAATATTAATTAAAATTAGCCTGTGCATTGCACGCACATGCTAAATGCCAAAATATGTAAGAAAAAGCTTTTGTAAATTTTTTTAGGTTTTGGTTTGATCAAGAGTCGCGGCGAAAAGTTTTAGGCAAAATTAGGAATTATGCAAAAAAAAATAATGCTGCCAAAACCGTGCACTTAAAAGTTTGGAATGTGCAAAAAAACAAAAAAAAAGAAACAGTAGTAACAGATATTTTGAGAAGCGGTTTATAAAAAGACACAGCCAGATTTGGTTCTCCGTTCTTAAAGTAACAGGAAGTTTTGACCGAAATAATATTAGGATATATAAGTCGGCAGAAAAGGAAAACGGAGGTCTATTTTTGTCTTTTGGTTTGGCGGTTGAAGTGGGTGCGAAAAGTCGGAGTTTTGAAATCAGAAAAAAATTGTTAATATATAAATCAAAAATAAAAGAGTTTTTCTTGTGAACAGTGATAAAAGTATTTAAGAAGTTAAATTTTCTTTGGTTTGAACAGTTTGATGCAATTAGAATAGAATAGAAATAAACAGGGTACTAGCTCCCACCGGAGCAGAGCACTGCGACCAGATTGATCTTTTGTGCCGTAACTGACCCTAATTGAACAGAAGACATTCCGCTTTCCGAATGAAGGCCAGAATGTCGTCCGTTGAGGACCTCCTAATGTCAGAAGGAGAGAGCAGCTCTCCTCCCAGTGATTTCCTCCTTGCCCAGATCAAGGCTGGGCAGTCACAGAGAATGTGGCTCGTAGTCTCGTCTGCTTCTAAGCAGAGTCGACACTCCATCTCTTCGGACAGACCTATTTTGTTAAGGTGATAACGCAGTCCATGGTGACCCGTTAAATATCCCACCAGCAACTTTAAATCTGATCTGCTGAGGAGGGATGCCTTGCCATAACTATATGGATGAACCAGCTGTTTTGCCTGACGGTTACCTCGATTGTCACTCCAGTAGCGACCTCTCTCGGCTGAGATCCATTTATCAATTAGATAACTAGTTGTAGACCAACTTAGTCCACAATAGGGTTCTGGTCCACAGATTTTAGTTGCAGAACCTGCCCTTGCAAGGCTGTCGGCAGATTCATTTCCTTTTATACCTGTGTGTCCAGGCACCCAGCAAAGCGTCACCTTATTTCTGCTTGCCAGCTGTTGCAACATATCAAAGCAGTCTAATGAAAGTTTTGAGAAAAACCTCCAGGTGGATAGAGCTTTGATTGCTGCTTGACTATCTGAGTAAATGCAGATGCGGGCGCCTTTCAACCCGTTGTTTAAGTTGATACGAGCGCAGACCTCGATGGCGTGAACCTCTGCTTGGAAGACAGTGGGCCATATACCCAGCGCTAGCGAGATTTTGGTGTTAGGACCAAATATTCCAGCACCAACACCTTCCGTGGTTTTTGAACCATCGGTAAACCATGATATCACTTCTGGTTCTGCTCCAGGGGTGCCATTTACCCAATCCAATCGATCGGGCTTTCTACCGAAGCGAAGTTCCATGTTCATGCGATCTGTCCTATCGCAGATCTCTATGCCAGGAACCAGTCTGCAGATAGAGTTTTGACTGTCAAGACTTCCGTGCATATTGATACCAGAGTGTAGCCTAGCTTCACGTCTTTTTAATGAAGAGGTGCAGAGGGGTAAAACCCACTATGGACTCACTGCTGATGTGGGACATGTTCTGATAGTTCCCGTCATCGCGATATGTTGACGAATCAACAAAAAATTAAGAACTAGGTCATGAGTTAATCGCTCACACCTGTTGCTTAATTTCTTGGTTGACGAATCAACAAAAAGTAAAAATTAGGTCATAAGTAAAGCATTCGCAACTATTGCTTATTAAGCAATTTGTGCGAATTAAGCAATAAGTTATTTTATTTATTGTATGTTTTGCAATTACGGTTGCATTTTATTTTGTATAAAAGAACAAATCAATTTAAATAAAATCAGTTGTTGAAAGTAAATCAACGTCTCACCAATCTTTTATTGTTTCCCCCCACCAGTGGTAAGGGACATAAAGATTGTTAATGAACATTCTTGTTAATTTTTGGTCCTTCGAGCCGGATATTTGAAATTTCCCCCACCAGTGGTAAGAGTTTCAAATATACCTAACAAAGAGACTTAAGTCTAAGATTGAAGTTAATACAAGCGTACCGAGGCTTTTAACATCGGAGTGAAGTTAATACAAGCGAACCGAGGCTTTTAACATCGGAGTGAAGTTAATACAAGCGTACCGAGGCTTTTAACATCGGAGTGAAGTTAATACAAGCGTACCGAGGCTTTTAACATCGAAGTGAAGTTAATACAAGCGTACCGAGGCTTTTAACATCGGAGTGAAGTTAATACAAGCGTACCGAGGCTTTCAACATCGGAGTGAAGTTTATACAAGCGTACCGAGGCTTTTAACATCAGAGTGAAGTTAATACAAGCGTACCGAGGCTTTTAACATCGGAGTGAAGTGAATGCAAACGTACCATCGAAGTGAAACAAGCAGAAGCGTACCGAGGCACTCAACAAATCAAATCAAATACTAACAGAGGACATCATGGAGATCGAACAAGTTATCCAACATCAAAAGGACATTGAAGGTGAGATCCAGAGGATCTGGATAAATTTTAAAAAGGATTCTTCTACAAGATATTCAAAGCAGTATTTTGAGACACGTTTGGAAAATTTGCGTCAGAAATGGGACGCATTTGAAGACAACAATGATAATGTGATCAAGAATTTGAAGCCTGATCATGAATATATCACAAAAAATTACTATGGCCAGTTACAACAAAGACGGATTGAAATCGAAAATCGATTTAATAATGAATTGGAAATAATAAGGCAAATGGAGCAAAAGGAAGCTCAAGTTTCAAGGCATCAAGTTATAAGAGGGCAAGAAGAAGCTCGGTCACCAAGGAATCAAGACATAAGTATCAATGACGAAGTCGCCATCACCGGGCCATGTGAAATTACAAACAAACGTTTAGCAATCTTAAGTACAAGTCTGTTGCAGATCAAAGAGACAATAGACTTAACGAAAAGTATTGAAACGTTACAGTTCAAATTGGAAAAATTGAAGAATTGTTGGGCAAAGTTCTCACAATTAAACGATGAATGTCTGTTTAACAATGATGAAATAGACCAAGGAGATTTCATTCAACTGGAATCGATATACGAAGGAGTATATATCCAGTTACAAGAAGAACTGAACGTTCGCAGTCAAAACGTTTCAGAAACCAGAACAACCGTAAGTAACAATATCAAACTACCACCGTTGAATGTACCAATATTCAGCGGCAGATTTGAAGAGTGGTGTCCATTTTGGGAATTGTTCGACCGGTTAGTTCAACAAAACCATAATCTAGTGGATGTAGAAAGGATGCAGTACTTAAAAGGAAGTCTACGTGGAGAAGCCGCCAGACTTATCAATCATTTAACAATAACAGCGAACAATTATACAGCGGCAGTTGAACTATTGAAACAAAGATACAACAATCCAGCAATACTTGTGGACAATCTTATCAATAAGTTATTGTCGCTCAGAGCTATAAGAAATGAGAATGCACAGGATTTAAAAACATTAGTGGATTCTTCTAGAGAAGTGTTATATGGTATACGTAATTTAAATGTGGACACGTCAAGTTGGGATCCACTAATTATACAGATACTGCTTCCAAAATTAGATGGTGAAACCAGAAAATTATACCAACATTCAAGAGGGGCATCAACACAAATACCAAAATTGAGCAGCTTATACGAGTTTATCGAGAGCAGAGTTAGAGGATTGGAGGCAATTCGTGACACAAATCGCGAAAATAAGAATAATTTTCGACCAACAGCAGTAAATACAAAAACGCATGTAAATACAATACATACGCTATGTTTAGTGTGTAATGGTGACCACCAATTAATTCGATGTTCAAAGTTTCTGAATATGAAGGTGCCGGAACGTCGTGAAAAGATTATGAGCGCCAAATTATGTTTTAATTGCCTTCAGAGTGGGCATTTTAGTAAGTTGTGCTTGAATAAAAAAAGATGTGCAATTTGCGACAAAAAACACCATCAACTTATTCATGAACAAGTTAAGGGCAAACCAACAGTCACAAATAATATAAGTAAACAGAGGATGCCAACATTGAAGAACACCACAGAGACCGAAGTGGCAGCGTCGTACAACATCCAAAAGGAAAAAACTGTTTTACTAGCAACCGCAATGGTAATTATAAGGACTAAAAAACAAGTTAATCCGATACGAGCGCTTCTTGATCAAGGATCACAATCTTGTATAATAACAGAACAATTAGCAAGATCAATCAGAGCACCATTGACCAATTATCAAACTCATGTAAAAGGTATCAATGGACAAACAACAAGCGTTATAGCCAAATGTTCATTAGAAATTCAATCTATACATGATGAAAATAAAAGCTGTCATATCGAAGCAATAGTGTTACCAAAAATCACATCAAAAATGCCAAATGCAGAATTCACGCCAGGAAAATGGTCACATATTGATGGATTGCAGTTAGCAGATCCTTGGTATGCTGAACCAAGGGAAATACAATTGTTAATCGGATCGGACGTGTTACCAGAAGTGTTTAAAGAAGGATTAATTAAAGGGCCAGACAACTCTCCAATGGCTCAAAACACACTATTTGGATGGATATTATCAGGACCTTTAGATGTAGAGCGTACAATCACAAACAAAATAATGTTATGCTCCATGGCTTGCGAAAGCAGCGACGAGTATTTAAAACGGTTTTGGGAATTAGAGGAAATTCCAAATGCGGACTTAAGAACAGTAGATGAAAGGCGTTGTGAGCGACATTATGATTCAACTTGCACCCGCGATAAAACAGGACGATACATTGTTAGGTTACCACTGAAAAATGATCGAGAAACGTTAGGTGAATCCAGAAAGATGGCATTAAAACGGTTCTTTTCATTGGAAGAACGATTTAAGAAGAATCCAGCACTAAAGCAAGAGTATGTGAACTTTATGCAAGAGTATATCAAGCTGGGTCATATGAAGGAAGTTAATGAGAAACCAAAGACAAAGATATATTATTTGCCGCATCATGCAGTTATTAAAGAAGACAGCACGACAACAAAACTTCGAGTGGTGTTTGATGCGTCCGCGAAAACGACATCAGGACAATCACTGAACAGTATTATGATGACAGGTCCTACATTACAAAAGGATTTATTCATTCTATTATTGCAGTGGAGAATGTTTAAAATAGTTTTTACGGCTGACATTGAAAAAATGTATCGTCAAATACTGATTCATCATGATGATAGAGATCTTCATCGAATTTTATGGAGAAACGATCAGAAAAAACCAATAAAAGAATACAATTTGAACACGATTACATATGGTACTGCATCAGCACCATATCTTGCCATCAAGACGTTGTTTAAGCTAGCAGAAGACGAGAGAATTAATTATCCTTTGGCAAGTGAAACCTTAAATGAAAAATTTTATGTAGACGATTGTTTGGGAGGCGCTAATACGATTAAAGAGTGTAAACAAGTACAAGAAGAATTAATCCAATTATTGCGGAAGGGAGGTTTTAACTTAAGAATATGGGCATCAAACGAACCGGAAATGTTGACGAATATCCAGATAAAAGACATTGAACCAGGGTTAGAGATGCAATTTAACAACGATCAAGCAATTAAAATTTTAGGAATAAAATGGTGTCCTAAATTGGATCAATTTGAATTTAAAATAAATACCGGGTCATTCAGCTCAAAATACACAAAAAGAACAATTCTAAGTGATGCTGGAAAACTATTCGATCCATTTGGTTGGTTGTCACCTGTAACCATTAAAGCAAAAATTATGATACAAAAATTGTGGATGCTAGGAATTAGTTGGGATACAGAGATTCCACCCAATCTACAGGCACAATGGGAAGAATTTAAATTGAGATTACCTGCAGTTCAGAAAATAACCATGAAAAGATGGACACAACATTCAGAGAATAGTTTAATCGAGTTACATGGATTTGCAGATGCGTCAGAAGCAGGATATGCTGCAGTTGTATATACAAAGGTTATCAATGCAGATAAGGTTACAATATCCCTAGTAGCATCAAAAACCAAAGTTGCGCCTATTAAGCAGGTATCATTAGCCCGATTGGAGTTATGCGCAGCTGTGCTATTAATAAAGTTGATTAATTACATTCAGAAGAATAACAAGATTACCTATAGTAAAGTTATTGCATGGTCAGATTCAAAAATTGTATTAAATTGGCTAAGGCAATACCCAAATAGATGGACTACGTTTGTAGCAAACAGAGTATCGTATATTCAGGATACGTTTAAAGGGCAATTTAGATTTGTTCCAGGAAAAGATAATCCAGCAGATATTCCATCAAGGGGAGTATATGGCGACAATCTTATTTCAAATATATTATGGTGGCATGGTCCAAATTGGCTAATAAAAGATGAAGGAAATTGGCCAGAAAATGATGAAGTAATAGATTTGAATCTTATTCCGGAAACCAGAAAAACTGCAATATGTACCGTCGTGGACGTTACCAAAGATGAAAATATTATTAATCGATTTTCTTCATTAAACAAACTTCTTCGAGTGACAGCTTATTGTCTTAGATTCGTTTATAATTGTCATAAAAAGAAATCCGAAAGAAAGATCGACAATCTGTCGGCAGACGATATCGATGCAGCAGAAATTGTGTTGGTGAAGCAGGCACAAAAATGTTTTTCAGATGACATCAGACGGCTTAATCTTCAGAAACAATTAATGAAAAGTAATAAGTTGTGTTCATTAAACCCATTTGTTGACAGTGCAGGAGTACTAAGAGTGGGCAGCAGATTAAGAAATGCAGATTTATCTGACAACCAAAAGTATCCAATAATTTTACATACAACGAGTACTTTGGCCAAACTCATAATCAATCAGGCGCATATTAATACGATTCATGGAGGATTAAAACTGACGCTAAACTACGTTCGGGAAAAATTTTGGATTATTCGTGGAACAATCGCTGTGAAAGCTTGCATCAATAAATGTTTAAAATGTTTTCGAATAAAGGCAAAAGGACAATCTCAATTAATGGGAAGTTTACCAACACCAAGAGTAAATTTCTCGAGGCCATTCACACACTGCGGCATAGACTATGCAGGGCCATTACACATTAAATGCTCGCAATTCAGGGGAATTAAAACACATAAGGCATATATAGCTACTTTTGTATGTCTAGCAACAAAGGCAATTCACATTGAGTTAACTTCAGATCTGACATCTCAAGGATTTTTAGCAGCACTCAAACGAATGATAAGCAGACGTGGCTCAGTACATCATATTTATAGCGACAATGGTACCAATTTTACAGGTGCAAACAACATTTTACAGAAGATTCAAATAGAGAATCATCTAGCTGAAACAGGTATACGTTGGCATTTCATCCCTCCTGGCTCACCTCACTTTGGTGGTCTCTGGGAATCGGGAGTAAAATCCATTAAATATCATCTAGCTAGAATTATAGGTGACCAAAAATTGACATACGAGGAATTAAGTACGGTCTTAATTCAAATCGAATGTTGTCTTAATTCACGGCCACTCTGTCCATTAACAGACAACATTGAAGATCTTAATGCACTTACACCAGGACATTTCATTGTGGGATCGTCATTAATGACTCCAGCGCATGATAGTCTTATTAACTTTACAGAAACTAGCCTAAAAAGATGGAAGATTGTGCAGAAAATAAAGCAAGACTTTTGTAAATGGTGGTTCCAAGACTATATAAGAAATATTCAACAACAGAGATACAAATGGACAAAATCCATACCAAATATAGAAGTTGGTCACCTAGTCATATTGAAAGAACAAAAACATTAATATCATCGACGTGGCCTCTAGGCAGAGTTATAGAAGTTCATACAGGAACAGATGGCTTAATCCGAGTTGCTACCATTAAAACCCAAAAGGGGATAGTAAAACGTACAATCCAAAAAATATGTCTTCTACCAATCACTGATAATGTAAAAGAAGGTCATATTCCGTCAAACCAGGAGAAGTTCCCAAAATTATTTAAAGAAGTAACATTAATCAAAGCAAAATCAGACACTCAAAATATGTTACCATTTGGAAACACTATCAGAAATAAAGAAGTAGTTTCGACAAAGTCTACTGCAGGAGATCCTAAAACGCGACGACAATGGTTATCGGCTAGGCAATCAAAATCGACAGTTCTTGCTATATTTTTGGCATATCTCACATTAGGAACTACATTAGCCACATCCACTATAACATATCCCGAATCAGGATTATTCATTGAAGGATTAGGCAAAGCAAAAATACAAAGAGGAGCACTTAGAACCACTATCACATTTCCAATCCGTAACATAATTCAAGATCAAAGGAACGTTAATAGCACCATAAAACAATTAACAATGTTGTGTACCAAGTCAAAGGCTGTCAATCCTTATATACAATGTGACGATTTAGTTTCCAATTTAAGTCATGAAGGGCGCATTTTAAGAACAACCATTGATCGATTGTTGACGGCAGAATCATCAGTTACAAGAAGTCCCCGAGGAATATTAGGTACAGTGTTAACAACACTTTTTGGTGTAAACGATGAAGTGTATCACGACATTGAAACGTTGGATCAAAATCAGAAATTATTGATCCAAAATACTAAATCAAATGCTAGAATTATGATATCCACAATAGCGGCAGTAAACAACACAGAAACTAAAATCATCAACAAAATCAACAGCTTTAGTAAAAGACTAAACGAAGGATTGCAGGCTATCAGTCAGATGCAAGGTTGGCATGATATCGGAGAAGGAAATAAACTGAATATATATGTACTTAATTCATATATAATGGCATCCAATTACATTCGAGAAGTAGAATCAAAATATAATAAGATCTTCAATGTATGTATATTTAAAACGCAGTCATATTTATGAATTCCTTTCGCATGATGAAATCAATGATATTATAACTCGATGTTCCTCAAAAATTGGACCAGAAATTTATGTCTTACCAATCCCGATGAACAGATTGGAATATGTTCGAGATACTGACAACGTTATAATTTATGGTTATTTCACAATCAGCGATATAGAAGAATATGAAATCATTAGATTCAACACGATTCCAGAAAGAATTAATGATAATATATATCAAGAAATCGAATTGTTAACATCCACATTTGGCATCAATTATAGCAGTAAAAAATATTTTGACGTTACTATCAGCCAAATGGAGACTGCAACCAAGCTGAATAATGGTACTAGGTAACTTCATCCAACAATATTTTACAACATTGACGAGAGTTCCAATTGTGTAATTAAGCAATTGTATAATAAATTAACATTCGATAACTGTCCGTCAAAAAGATTTCAAGTTATACAACCAGTTTGGAAAGAGCTTTGGACGCCCAATGCTTGGATATTCATTACACCAAATTTAACGACAATTCATGTAATTTGTCATATTGAACGTGAAGAAGTAGTTCTGAATTATACGGGAATCATTCATATCTCTCCAGATTGTGTAATACATTCTAAGACTATTCAACTGGAAGGAAGAATGATGAAAGAATTTCAATCAATCACACACCACGTTAAACCAATCAGCATGCAAAACATTTCAATACCTGACAGTAGAATGCATAAAATTACAAATGAAACCGTTATCCCATTGGTGCAAGATTTATCAACTATGCTTTAATAATCATATTCGTTGGAGTATTATATTACATGTGTTACATTAAACCGAGAATACCATCAACATCAGCCAATAATCATACATCACCGTCCACTTACGATGTCGCTTGGTCTTGCACATAAACAACAACCTGCTGAGGCTAACAAATCTAGACCAACTCATAATACCAACGCAGAGCCGGCATAATGTTGACGAATCAACAAAAAATTAAGAACTAGGTCATGAGTTAATCGCTCACACCTGTTGCTTAATTTCTTGGTTGACGAATCAACAAAAAGTAAAAATTAGGTCATAAGTAAAGCATTCGCAACTATTGCTTATTAAGCAATTTGTGCGAATTAAGCAATAAGTTATTTTATTTATTGTATGTTTTGCAATTACGGTTGCATTTTATTTTGTATAAAAGAACAAATCAATTTAAATAAAATCAGTTGTTGAAAGTAAATCAACGTCTCACTAATCTTTTATTGTTTCCCCCCACCAGTGGTAAGGGACATAAAGATTGTTAATGAACATTCTTGTTCACGATACATGCGAGTCTTTGCAGTTTGTTGCATTTGAGTATTGCAGCTTTTTGTTGTGCTTTATTCCACCAAACAAGAGCTGCATAGGATACTATGGGTCTGACCATTGTACGGTAGATCCATGAGAGAATTCTGGGACTAAGGCCCCAGGTCCTACCATATGTGTTCCTGCATGTCCACATTACCGTTATGGCTTTGCCAATTACATTATCCAAGTGAGTGTTCCAGTTAAGACGCTTATCTAGGGTGTTTCCTAGATATTTAACTTCGTCGGAACATTCAATAGCCGTATCTTTTATGGATAGGGACCCTAAATTCAGTTTGTACCTTCTGGAAAATGGTACAATTACTGCTTTTTACCGCAAACTATGATTGCCAAGTCATCTGCATAACCTATGGCATGGTAGCCAGATTGTTCCAGTTTGACTAGTAGATCGTCTACTACCAACGTCCATAACAATGGTGAGAGAACCCCACCCTGGGGGCATCCCCGTACGGCACTAATGCTAACGGTGGTATTACCTAACTTGGTAGATATGTTCCTGTCACGTAACATCCTATCTATCCACGTTATTGTATAGGAGTCTATATCTTTCCGGGCCAATGCACTGGATATGGACTCATAAGATCTATTGTCAAAAGCACCTTCTACATCCAGAAATGCACATAAGGCAATTTCTTTAGATTGAAAGGTGCTTTGAATTTTGCTGACCAAGTGATACAGCGCGACCTCCGTAGATTTGCCTTTTGAGTAGGCATATTGTGTGGGGTGGAGAGGAACCGTTTGTCCCATTTTTTCCCGTATGTGCAGATCAATTAGCCTTTCGACAGTTTTCAGTAAGAAGGAAGTAAGACTAATTGGTCTGTAGGACTTTGGCTGGTCCATGGGTTTATTACCCAATTTGGGAATAAAGATCACATTTACACCTCTCCAGGAGTGAGGGATGTAACCCATAATGAAACATGCCCTAAAGAGTTTGATTAATGGGTCTAGAATGATATCAGTACAATTCTGCAATACAGCAGGAAAGATACCGTCGCCACCAGGCGCCTTGAATGGTAGGAATGAGCTGATCGCCCATTTCACCTTGTCCTTGTCAAAGATAACACCAGAAAGTGCGTGTTCCTGACGTGTAGGAGCAGTTACTTCTCTGTTTGATTTTGATGTTGATGCTCCGATTAAAGAGCCAGGGAAGTGTGTTTGCAACAGAAACTCAAGGGTATCTTCACGGACAGTGGTGAAGGATCCATCGGGTTTTTTTAGAAGGCCTACTTCGTTATTTTTGACCTTAGTTAATGCCTTGTGTAGTCTGGCAGCCTCGGGCAGCTTCTCAATACTTTCACAGTGGCTTCGCCAGCTAGTCCGTTTGGACTGTCTAATTGATTTATTGTAGTCAGTGAGTGCAATTTTATATTCTTCCCACCTACCTGAGCGTTTTGCTCTATTGAATAAGCTCCTTACTAATTTGCGCTTATTAGCTAGTTGCGAGTTCCACCAAGGAACCTTACCCAAAATTGTAGCATTGCCTGCAACCGTGCTGTTATGAAAGGAGGTTAGTAATACCTCACCTAAGTGGTTAGCGGCTAACTCTAACTCTTCTACAGTTTGTAAAGGCCTAGCTATGGAAAAGTTTGCGGAACACACTAAGTCCCTATACCTATGCCAATCGGTTTTTCTGGGTCGGTAAACTTTTTCTTGCTGTGCGGATATACCGGGAATTTCAAACCTAATATGTTGATGGTCAGAGAGGGACACTTCGTCCGACACATGCCAATTCCATATAGATTCCTCAATACCTCTGGTGCATAGAGTGAGATTTAGTACTTCTTCTCTAATTGCGTTAATGAATGTGGGTTTATTACCTTTGTTAGCTATATTCAAACTTGCTGATATGATATATTCTAATAGGTACTCACCCCTTTTGTTAATATCGCTGCTCCCCCACACCGTATGGTGAGCATTTGCATCGCAGCCCAAGATTAGCTGCCGCCCAGTGGACCTGCAGAAGCTAATCAGCTGCTGGACTTCCGTTGGTGGAACTGCATTTTCATCACCTGGGAAGTAGGCAGAGGCCACGACAATGTCTGTCACCCCTCCTAATGTTGGAACTTCGCTGCTAGGTCTCTAGAAATAAAGTTATTTAACGGAAGATGTTTTACGTCTCCACCGATTAAGATAGCTGCACGCGGCACTGCTATCGATCGGTCATAAACCAGCTTACCTGATTTAGAGTTAAGACCCCAAATGTGGCCACCGAACACCCACGGCTCTTGAATAAGTCCTAGAGCAATGTTGTTGGTTTAGGCAATTCTGCACAGGGTGGCTGAAGCTCCTTTTGCATGGTGCAGATTTGCCTGGAGCACTTTTAAAGTGATCATTAGGTCTCGTTAAGAGACTTACGGACGAGACTTTCACGTTTGTCTCGTCGAGAACCCTTGTTTCTGGCACCCTTTGATTGCTCCAGTAAACTTTTACTGAGTAAAAGTGGTTTAAAGATAGCGGTCCTAGGTTTACCTGCTACCGTAATCGGGCCCGTGGAGGGCATTGTGGACTTCTTTCCTGAGGTGGGAATCTGAACAGCACGCCCACTAGCAGTGCCAACCGCCTTGCTAGTAGATGGACGTGTGCCTAGT